CCCCCTTCCCCTTCCTCCCCAACAATGCAGGCCACAAAATCAACCAAACCAGTCTAAATCCGCACCTACAAGGCAGCCACAACAAAACCCAGAAAACGAAAAGTTTGAATTCAATTCTGGTAGTCGTATATATATATACACTAAAAAAGAAATACAGATAGGGAAGGGTCCAAGAAAGTTCGTAATTGGCATGCAAAACAAATAAAAGACCAAAGAAACGGTGTTGGACACGACTCATTCATCACCGACCTAAAGTGGCCTACTCTGTTAAGTTTTCTACTTTGGCAGATACAATAGGACCCAGGTGGCTTCTACACGGATCCATCCACAAAAAGCAACCATCTAAAATAACACAGACGACCAACCAAACCGCCACAATATCAAAACAAAACCTATCAAATCAAGGGGGCTTCAATTCAATTACTTGCTTGTTAAGAACAGAAATAGAAATTGAAATCGTCATAATAAAAATAAATTCAGGAACAAGGACAAGAAAACTACTACACAAATTTATATCATACCCTGAACCAAATCAGAGCGACATTGTCGAAGATCTAATATGGTAAAAATCCGGTACCGATGAAAGAAAAATCCTAATTTCCGAAACTTGCAAAGTAACGGCTACAAATTTGAAAGAGATATTAACAAGGGTGCAGCAATTGAAGCAACAAGAAGTTGAGAGACGTCGATCGTACGTACCTGTGTTCAAAGAAGAAGACGAAGAAGAAGGTGTCTGAAACATGGTGAAGAAGAGTGGCCAAGCCAAGTCTTGCAGTGGCGACGAGAGTTGCTTTTAATAAACTGAACTGACCTCGTGGATCTAATTCTAATAATTGATTAGGATTAAGAAAGTGGGCAACCTTTATGTCTACTTTTTCTGAGCTTTTTCTTTTGATTTTAAAAGGGAATATTTACTTTCTTCTGATGAGACGGAGAGATCAGAATCAGGGAGAAATCGTGGTCTCAGCACATGAAAGTTTCGGGGAAATTGAGCAACGCAATAATAGCTGTTGCTGTTTCTTGCTTCGCTTTCTTTTTCTTAAATTTTTATTTTTTATTATTTCTGCAATTTGAATTTCAGGTTGAGTAATGTAAAAGGGATGATGATGAGGATGAAGAAAAGGATTTGATTTTGTCCAGCAAAAAAGAATAAGAAAGATTTTGCTTGTTGGGTTTGTTTGGCTGCGCTGCCACTGTAGCCTCACATTCTCCGAACTTCCTAACCTCATCTGTCACATGTGCGTGTCATCCCTCGGTCAACGACTCCAGATGCACATCTTCCTTTCATATATTTGGGGTCAAATGATCAAATCCTCCATCAGAATTTTGTTACGGCAAAATGAGAAAAGCTTTACTATTTGTTTTTTTTTTTTAATAAGAGAATTGTTGTGCTAAGTTTCGATCATCGTGATTGGTTAAATTGTCAAATCATCCAAAATTACCCTTGTTTGAGAAGAAATTTGACTTATGGATGGGCCAATTAATCACGACATGATTTTGAGGGTGATTATGAAGAAGTGCCAGTTTGACATTGCTTATTTGAGGTGATAAATGATTTTTAAAAGAAATTGAGAAGCCCAGTCAGTTTGGTAAACTATGAAAAAAACACTTATTATTAAAAATTATTGTGAGATAAAACTATAAGAGAAAGCAGCTAATAAGGTGTTTTTATTTTCTAATTATGCATGAATCAGTTTCAAAGAGGCGCTGAGTTTAATGATAATGCGGAATTATTTTCTAATTATTCAGGAAATAGCACCAACAACACTTTTAACAAAAAGTTTACCAAATGTCAAACTGTTTTCTCTCACAGCAAATCAGTGATTATTTTCACAACACAGTAATGCCAAACTAACCTACAATGTTACTTCATATAAATGATTATTGGTATATTTAGAATCACTCTCAAACAAGCCCAAAATGAGTGAGATGCTTTTTCCCATAAACCATTTGGGTCATGCTCCCAATAAGTGATTTTGGGAGAGCCCAAAAATATACACTTAACAAAACCACAACAGTTTGAAGATAAAGGCTTTTCCTGTCCAACTTTATACGCTACGGAAAAAATAAAATTCAAAATGATCATACTCATATTAAATATTCAAAATAGAATCAAAGTGTCTATGCTACTTTTAATTTCTATCAATTACTTATGAATTTCCACATATATGCTTTGAAGGTTAGCTGAATTTGTATCTTTGAAGTAAAATTCAGCCAATTGGAACTTCAAATGTATAGTTTTTAAATAAACCTGAAAAGTTTTGTAAACTTGTGATATGAATTTGTATTGTACACTTGTGAAGATGGAGGTGGGGTTGTTAGGGTTGATGATGAGAAGGTGGAGTTGGGGTCAACAATGGATAAAGAACCCGAAAGGATGCTTTTACCCTCTCACTTTGACAGATAAATTGACAAAGTTGGACAGCAGGATCCAATTGGAACTATTTATCTAGTTAACGGATATAATTGCCTCAAAAAAAAGTTCACAGACCCAATTGCAACTGAGGGCCAAATTCAGGGACGTCTACAGTATATAACTCCCATTAGAATTTTGTAACGGCAAAATGAGAAAAGCTTTACTATTTGTTTTTTTTAAATAAGATAATTGTTGTGCTAAGAGAAAAGCTTTACTATTTGTTTTTCTAAAATAAGATAATTGTTGTGCTAAGTTTCGATCATCATGATTGGTTAAATTGTCAAATCATCCAAAATTGCCCTTGTTTGAGAAGAAATTTGACTTATGGATAGGCCAATTAATCACGACATGACTTTGAGAGTGATTATGAAGAATTGTTATTTTATAGAAATGATTATTGGTCTATTCAAAATCACTCCCAAACAAGCCAAAAACGAATGAGATGCTTTTTTCCATAAACAATTTTGGTCATGCTCCCAATAATTGATTATGGGAGAGCCCCAAAAATATACACTTAACAAAACCACAACAGTTTGAAGATAAAGGCTTTTCCTGTCCAACTTTATATTTGCTACTGAAAAAATAAAATTCAAAATGATCATACTCATATAACATATTCAAAATAGAATCAAAGCGTCTATGCTACTTTTAATTTAACTGGGAGAGATGAGAATGGAATAGACAAAATAAAGAGTGTCTGCAAATGTTTTTAATTTTACAGAAATGTGAGTAATGAAGATTTATTTGATATTTTACAGTAATTCGTTTGTGGTTATTATTCGAAATATTACCCTTATTTTACTTATTTAATTAATTTAATTTCAAAAGTTATACAACTTTATCCAATATAAAATAGGACGGTGTCTCTTTTTCACAGCATAGTCACTACGAAAAATTCTATTAGCTATGAAAAATTCTTGACAATGCTTGATGCAAGTTTGGACGGGGCAGACTTGAATAGATTTGCACCGAGCAAGGAGATCAAGTATGACAAGTTTGGTCATCATGCTGGCGGTGTTTTGCTGAGAACTTGTATAGGAAGCTTGATAGTGCTAGAGTTTTTACAGACATTACTTGTGATGGCCTTCGGTTGGCTATTCGTCGATGGGTATTCAGAAATGATAGTGAGAGACTTATCAGAAGAGTTGAAGGTGATGAAGTTGGTGTTCTAGGATTACGTTTACCTTTGAGATGATGATCTTATAGGATTTGTGAGTTGCCTTCATATAATATTTGGAGAAAACCATTTTCTTGTAGAATTCCACTTCCTTGTAATAGATAATGAATTGACTTCCTTGATCGCTAACAAGCATATTAAAGATTCGATTCTTTATTTTATCCTCAAGAAATGTCGTCGGCCACTCATTTGGTTACCTCCAAAGAACAAGCTTTGATGGCACAGGTGGCAGCTACCATGCCTTTCAATACCCAAGCTTATCCGGGTTTTCCTCATCAATTTGAAATGCTTCCTCCACGAAGGCATCGATCCACCCACCCCACCATTACGTGACGCAGTGAAAGTACTGAGTGACAGACCTTGCACCATTTTTCCCTTGGCGACCAAATTATGCAATCCTTTAGAACAATAATACTATGCACCAACACTACCCTTCTTCAGTTCTTCTTCTTCCACTCCTGTGTACAGAGATATCAGCATCTACAAAGTACACCAAGTCCTATTAGGCTATTACATCTCAACTCATGCACACGAGCTAATGTTGAACATTATATATTCGAATCAAAATTTCGCAACGACACGTAAAGAAATTCCATCAAGCATATATATAACGAAACAAATGGAAAAAGTATAAGTTTTTAGTCTCAAAGGAACAAACTTGGGTCCAAAGTTTGAAGTTTTAAGTGTGGAAAGTTTGAAGTTATGCATGTATATACAAGCAAACACTGCTATGCTGGGATACAGAGCCAAAGCAAACAGAACCGCAGACAGACCTTAAGGACTGAATGTCCCTATGCCTAGACACTAATACATGTTGGATAGAATTCAAAATCCAACTAGAGACTTGTGGAGAAGGAGAACAAGGGTGACATTTTTGCTTTTATAATATTTTATAACAGTTATGGGGTTTAAATAAAGACGAATAAAAAATCAACGAAAGTAGATGAGTTTTCTAAATGCAATGAAGGAAAACTGTAATAAGAATGAAGTACCTTAATATTTGGGAGGTGTAAGACTAATAACCTTGAGTCTCAACTCCAACCTCCACTCTTCTTTCTTCTAAAGACTTGATGATCCATGAATGCACCCAGCTTCAGCTTGCCAAGCCTCTAGAAGAGGAACACCAGGTACAATGATCCCACATGCATGCATGTTAATTTTATGATCCCGAAGAGCACATAATTATCAAGCCAGCTTCTGCCGAAGGAAAACCAAGGTACGTATAATGTTCATATCATTCTGATCTAGGAGGCATTCTTTTGATCTTGTGTTAGGATTATACTCAAGATCGACAGCAACTACATAGAAAACGAGGGGGAAAAACAAATGAATATTCAGTTTTAACTTAATTCTTTTGCACGCTACAAGTTTCTTCATGATTTTGCGGTCTTTAGGAAAAGATGAAGGAATATATATAAGTCGCAGGAAAACCAAACAACCAGAAAAGAAAAGAATGAAGAGCCTTTAGACTATAATTAGGAGGAAAACCACCTTAGACATGAAATTATTTTGCTCGGAAAACCATATATTATTTATAATTCTTAAGATTGTTTACTTTTCTCAGGCTTAAATGCGCAAATAGTTAAACAAGACAAATCCGCTAATGCAACTTAGAAAACCAGTAGCAGTAGTACATTGTTTTCTCATTGATGAGCAGCATAATCACTAGGATAGGATATGAAAACCCTCCCCTCAAAATAAAGAAATAGAAATAACCAGGTCCGTAGCTAATACAGCAATTATTTAACTTCTTACCATATATTGTTCCAGCTGAGCATCATGGCTGCAGGTCTTCATTATTTCGTGATAATCTCCTTCGTTTGGGTTTTGATGACTCGCGCACTTCCAGCGGGTATCGGCACAGGGGACACAAGTGATTGATCTGCAGCCACGGGACAATGCAATCTTCATGAAATTGGTGTAAGCAGGGCAAGCGTTTGATCGTCCTTGGTGGATGGCAATGATCAACCCCTTGACCTTGATCTTGATCATGATGATCATCTTGAGAAGCAGGGACGGCATTAATATTATCAGGGTGATGATCATCATGATGATCAAGGAGGAGGCCCTCCATACAAATAATACATGAGGACAACGGGGCCAAAGTAGGATCATCAAGCCTCACATTCTCCAAGCCCTGAATGGATGATTGAGCTGCAGGAATAAGCATGGCCCTGTATGCTTCCGAGGATTGCCTCATAACCCTATCAAGGATGTCGTTGTTGTGGTCCGACTTCAGATAGTGATAAGTGGCATCCACAATATGCACAAGAATTGGCAACTCAAAGCTGTGGTTGTCGGCCTCTTCAGTGTAGTCAAGTATTCTTACAATGAGAGCTGGCTGCGCACCTTGTGGGACACCCATCTTGGAAAGATGATAAGCCAAGACATGCGTCCATTTAGGCCTTGAGGAAAATTGCTTGACATCAAGCATAGGGACATAGAAACTCCTCTCAGCAAGGAGGTGATATGTAGAAGCATAAGGAAGTTCTACTGGACGATGCTTACCAGCAATATAATGGAAGACTCGAGTTATCTTTTGATAATCTATACAGATTTTGAACATGTCCCTGGGAATTGAGTCTAATGAGATTCTTACATCTTCTTTTTGATTCACACCTGTATATAAAAAACAGTACTCGGAAGCACCAGTTGAGCTGCTGATGCTCTGTATTTCGGAAGCAGCAGCTGACGTGCCCCTTCTCCGTGCGTATAACTGGGCAGCAGCTAATATCCTGCTCATGCTTTGTGCCTTGGTTGGTGGGTGTGTGTATCACTATCAGCAAGCAACCTGTAATACGGTAGGAACCGTTGTCAGGCTCAACTCCAACCTGAAGGTGTTTGTTTTACATGTATGTATGTGTGTGTGTGTGTGTATATATATATATATATTTGTAGTTAACTATCCCTAAATCAATGAGGATGACCCTATCCTTCTCCAACAAGGAAATAATAGGAAAAGAAGTATATTTACCCAAAGATGTATAGTTAATTTGTTAATTGCCTGGGTAAGGTGGCTTTAGTAAGGGTGGACTGGAGGCACGAATTTTAAACCTAAATTAGTATGCAGTCGATCGAGTTTAACAACGAAAATCAAATGAGGATTTAATTTAGAGTATCCAATGGAAACATATATGTATTCATCAATTAAGCAAGCTTAAAATATCAAACAAACAATGCAAGTAAAACCGATGAATTCAAGGAAACAACAAATAAAAGTAAAGAAAATTAAGCATTCGACAGATTGATGAATGAAAAACTTACGTGCGGAGCCGAGATAGATACTGTTTGCTTGATTTTCTTCCTGATAATGCTGCGGAAACACAGTGAGAGAGAGAGAGAGAGAGAGAGAGAGAGCCGACGATCAAAACCAGGGCCTGGTAAAAGTAGGGCAAATTTTGGTCTACATAGTGCACATTGGGTGTTGAGTTGGGCCAGAGGCCTAACAAACAAACCCCAACATTGGACTGGAGTACAGTCCAAATTTAATCTTGGACCCACTCACAATAAATAATAAATCAAAATTTGGGTGGGCTATAGCTTATGGGCCTCAGTACTCCTCACACAGCGACCCAAGAGTCCACGTCTCCAACATCAATACGCCAAAACAATCAATCACAAGCCAAACCAAAATTCATTGAAACGCTTCTACTAAATGACCTTATTAACCACCCCAAAGATTCCATTTCAATTATCACAAGCATAAGGGTACTTTAGGTAAATTGAGTCAGCTTGATACTCACGTAGGCTCGACCGCACTTTAGCATCTCTATCTCTCTCCCTCCCTCCCTCCCGCGAAAAGAGCGAGCGCCGTACAATATCTGCTTCATATTCGGCACTTCTTATCGCACTGCTTGTCTCTCTCTAGCCATGGATCTACCAGTACCACTAGGGCTTTAGGTTCATGTTTCAGCAAAACTCGGGTCGGATCCATCGAGCGTGAGAGTGAGCCCGAGCTCGAAGAACGTACGGAATGAAGCACAAGAGTGAGCTCAGTTTCCCTAATATTCACAAGTTGCTAAAGTCCGTTCTAATCGGTCTCATTGTGTGTCTGGGTTTGCTTTGTTTATACTACGGGTGGTCTTTCGGCCCGGGCTCGCGGCGATCCGACGAAGAGACTTCCGGGTCCGATGGCTCTGACCCCATTTTCGGTGGGTTCGTTCTCCATCGTGATTTTGACGATTTACATGAAGATCAGGAGCACAACTCCGAGGTCACCAAAAGCATGCTTGTACGTAACGCATTAATTCATGATTGTTAGATTTATTTATTTATTTTTGCTGCTTAGTATAATTTTGTTGCTAAATAAATTGTCAAGTATCTTACTTGATTTACTGATTTGGGTTCTGGAAAAAGCATACCTCTCTATAGCAATTTTAATAAAATTTAATAACTTGTTAATAATTTTGCGGTATTCGTGTGAAGAAAAAAAAATTGCACCTTTTTGTATAACCGATGAGTTTTATCTGGACTCTGTAAGCAAATACTTGAAAGTTGTGGTTTCTAATTTTGTGTTTTCACTTGGCATAGAGCATGCGTTATAAAAATGTTAACTTTTTTGTTCCAAGTGTAAGTTATTTTACCCTTGCTGGCGTGCATACTAATAATCAATGGAAATGCGTTCACTGATCTTCTTGTCTTGTTTGTATTTCTGTTCATTTGAATTGATGACCTTTTACGTTCCCACAGGTCTGTGATTTACAGTTCTCGGAGCTGATACCTTGTATTGATAGAAACCTTATTTACCAACTGAAATTGAAGCCCAATTTGACATTAATGGAGCATTATGAACGGCATTGCCCGCCTCCAGAGCGACGCTATAATTGCTTGATACCACCGCCACTTGGTTATAAGGTAGATGGTCATTGCTTTTGTGTAAGTTTACCTTTGTTTGGCTTCACTTAGTTTTGATTCGGACAAATTCATTTCTAGAGTTTCAGATACCTATAAGATGGCCGGAAAGTAGAGATGAAGTGTGGAAGGCCAACATCCCCCACACCCATCTTGCTCAAGAGAAATCAGATCAGAATTGGATGGTTGTGAATGGGGACAAGATCAATTTTCCTGGTGGAGGGACACATTTCCATGATGGAGCTGATAAGTACATTGTTGCTCTTTCCAGGGTACATAACCTTGAGTCAGTTCTTGATTCTTTTCTGTATTTGTTTAATAATATAAGGGGAAGAGTAATTAGCAGCTTGGATTTAGTGGAATTCTCTTTTTATAATTTTATTTTGTTGGAAGAAAGAGAAACAGAAAATTCCACTTTGATTTACCTATTTGGCTGAATCCGGCTTGCACCAATAAAGATTTGTTTCCTCATGTTTAACTTAATGATATTTGGTCTAGATTTCGTAATATATGCTTTTTCTGTTCCTAGTTTCATTCTCTGCACTGGAGAATTATTCAATTATGCACTATCCCAAGTGGACGTAGCATAACTTTTTTTCTCGGTATGCTTATTATTTGTGTAGATGCTTAAATTTCCTGCGGATAAGTTCAACAATGGTGGAAATATCCGGAATGTTCTCGATGTGGGTTGTGGAGTTGCAAGTTTTGGGGCATATCTTCTTTCTCACCACGTCATAGCTATGTCCCTTGCTCCTAATGATGCGCATGAGAATCAAATACAATTTGCACTAGAGAGGGGGATTCCCTCTACTCTTGGTATCTTGGGTACAAAAAGACTTACTTATCCAAGCAGATCATTTGAGCTGGCTCATTGTTCACGATGTCGAATAGATTGGCTTCAAAGAGATGGAATCCTGTTATTAGAGCTTGACAGATTACTAAGACCTGGAGGGTATTTTGTGTACACTTCTCCTGAAGCATATGCACAGGATCCGGAAAATCGGAGGATCTGGAATGCTATGTCTGATCTTCTAAAAAGAATGTGCTGGAAAGTTGCAGCAAAGAAAGAGCAGAGTGTTGTATGGGCCAAGCCACTGACTAATAGTTGTTACTTGAAGAGAGATCCTCAGACCCAGCCCCCCCTGTGCAATTCTGATGATGATCCAGACGCAAGTTGGAATGTGAGCATGAAGGCATGCATTTCTCGATACTCTGCAAGTAAGTAGCAGGGCGATACTTCCATTATTAATGTTTTTGGCTTTCCACCGTCTAATTATTATCATTACTAAAATTATAAATCAGAGGTGCACAAGGAAAAAGGAAGCGGACTAGCTCCTTGGCCACAGAGGCTTACCACAGCACCCCCTCGCCTGGAAGAAATTGGTGTCAGTCCTGAAGAATTCCAAGAGGACACTGTAAGTTTCCTGATTACAAGCTAACTCTTCACGGTGAAGTTTGCCTGCTAAATTTTATTGTTCTATTTAATGAGTGCCTAAAAAATCCATGCGATGCAGGGCATATGGCGTTTTAGAGTGATTGAGTACTGGAAGCAGATGAAGTCTGTCATACAGAAAAATTCAATCAGAAATGTCATGGATATGAACTCAAACCTTGGTGGATTTGCTGCTGCCCTGAATGGAAAAGACGTTTGGGTGATGAATGTTGCTCCTGTCCGTGTATCTTCCAGACTAAAGATCATATATGATCGGGGCTTAATTGGAACTGTTCATGACTGGTACGTATTTTGATCTGAATTCAGTCCTCAACCCCACCTCTTATCCTTTCAATTATGTGTTTGATATCCTTTTTGCTACATGTTTGATTTATGGATCATTTTATGCTGGCTATCTGATTATGCTTCATTAGTTAAAGTTTATAACTTTTATATAGATATTGTTGGTCTGTTCAGAGATTTGAATATTTTCACTTACTGTATTTTATAGGTGTGAAGCATTTTCCACATACCCACGAACATACGATCTTCTACATGCATGGGCAGTATTTTCCGAGATCGGTGAGCGGGGCTGTGGTGCAGAGGATCTATTGATTGAAATGGATAGGATACTCAGACCAGATGGGTTTGTCATCATAAGAGACAAACCTGCTGTTATAAACTATATCCGAAAGTTTCTGACTGCCTTGAAGTGGGATGGCTGGTTATCAGAAGTAGAACCACGGGTTGATGCTCTTTCCTCAAGTGAAGAAAGAGTTTTGATTGCAAGGAAGAAGTTGTGGGATGAGGGGCTTACAGCGATGTGATTCTGCTTTGTTTTTCAGGTATATGACCTAATTTCTTCGACATAGGGCGTATTTTGATCATGCTAAGAATTCCACAATATTATGTTATTTTCTTGTTGCTTTGCTCAAATTCCACTTCTGGATTAGAATATGTCGAGTATTTTAATACTTGCTTGCTGCTTTATGGAAAACTTAACATTCTTTTGTTCGATTTTGTTTTTCTTCTTCAAGACATGCCAGCTTCAGTATTGGTGTTGAGCCTGCCCATTCCAAGAGCATGTACAGAAATATGGGAGACCCAAGGGCATGTCAGTTCCGGTTAAGGCCATGATGCGCTTTGTTTCTGGAGATTGAGATGCTACCAGTAGTACAGGCATATTGGGATATAGATAGAGATGCAGTTGCAGAATGTGTGAACGTACGTAGGAAAGTCTGCATACAGCAACAGCGACTGAAGAAAAACTTGCACAACTAGGAGACTTTTTCGTAGTGGGATCTTATTTTTGTAAATAATTTTTACAATCCAATACCAATTGGGGGATTGATTACATAAACTCAATAATAAACACTCTTGTATTTCCTTATTCCCCCTAACAATGCCGCTTATGTATGCTGTTGTGGTTGGAATGGAGCATTATGATCTTGGATTTGTTCTTTACGAATTTAATACGATGCTAAAGATAGGGAGAGTTATTGGCAATAGTTGTTTCGAAATATAAAACGAAACTTGCCTACTAAGGTAGGTAGTAAGGGCTCATCTGGTAACGTTTTCAGATATATTTCATTTTCCGAACATATTTTCTGAAATTCATACATTAGCAGAGGATCCTTAAAAACCAAACACGTTAAGAAGAAGAATAGCAAGACAGGAAGGAAACGTAAAGGATGTCTCCACGTGACAAACGAAACATGCGCACATGGGATGGGTTTAGTTCCCGCTAATTCCGTGATATCTCCTTTTTCCAATTTGCCATTCCAACGGAAGGCTTCCAAACCCATAGGATTAGGGGTAGGGGATGGCTCTCAATCTCTCTCTGATTTAATTAAACACCAAACACAAAAAATCACACCCACCTTACCACCACCTTCACTCTCTCCTTCTCCTTCCCTTGTCTTGTATAATACCATAATAAATTCTGTACTTCTTTTCTCTTCCACGCCCCTTCACTCTGTCTTGCTGTGCTCTTCACTCGGTCCCATTCCATGGATTCTTCTGCCTCTGTGGATGCATTGAGCAATGGCTTCAAAAACCACCTTTCTCTGAATCAATCTCATAATAATAATAATGTTGTCTCCAACCCCAGAGTCCAACCTAAGCAACCCTTTTTCATTGGTACGTAATTCACCCTCTTCATTCTTCCCTTATTTGTCTCTCAATCTCTTGCAATTCCAATTTGCATGTTTCTTCATATTGATGATTAGGTGTTGCTGGTGGCACTGCATCTGGCAAAACTACCGTTTGCAACATGATCATCTCCCAACTGCGTGATCAGCGCGTTGTTCTCGTAAATCAAGTAAGTTTCTTCGGTTTTCTACTAATTTATTATATTAGATTCCTGTTGATTGTGTTTCGTTATGTGATCAACGGGAGTGTGATGGGTGTAAGTAATGATGTATTGTGTTTATAGGATTCATTTTATCACTCCTTGAATGCTGAGAAGTTGAAAAGGGTCCATGAGTACAATTTTGACCATCCTGGTAACCATTCCTTTCATGCTGTCATTTTCTTTGTCCTGTGTGTGTGATGCTTCATATTGCAATTGCTTTTGAATCTCAGAGGCCTTCGATACAGAGCATATGCTTTCTTGTATGGAGCAAATAAAGCGTGGACAGGCAGTGACCATCCCAAATTATGATTTTAAGACCCATCAAAGCATAGAACCAGCTTGCAAGGTAACTATTCTTAACTGCATTTACTGTGACCAATTTCAAGATATTATTTAGACTCTCTGGATCAGTTGTATTGCTAGTTATACATATGATGCAACTTCTGTTTCAGCTCGGCTAATCATACATATATCTTGCAAAATGGATAATCCATGCATATATTGCATTGATGAATCAGAGTTTCAAATAAAATGTTATGCTCCTTTTCAATTGCAGGTTAACCCCTCAGACATCATCATCTTAGAAGGAATATTAGTTCTTCATGATCCTCGTATCCGCGATCTCATGAACTTGAAAATCTTCGTAGACACAGGTTATCTTTATCTATGTATTCTTCAGTGTTACCTCATTCATGCATGCTGACTCCTTCATTGTCAATGTTAAGCACTTCCCTACTATTGAATGAACTGAGAGACCTTAGCCTTTTTTGTATGTGTTTTTACCTTGTATGACCTCTTATCCAATAACCATTATAACAGTTCTACCAGTGCAGATTCTGATGTACGGCTTTCTCGGAGAATTCAACGTGACACTGTTGAAAGAGGCAGAAATATCGAGAATGTGCTTGACCAAGTTGGTTCAGTTCTCCCTTTTCTTTTCCCTTTTTCTTTGCGGTGATCAGATTACTCCACAGCTAAATCCATGATGTTTGTTCTAGACATTAGTTGTGTCACTCACTAACTGATTGAGAGCTGTAATCTGCAGTACGCCAGATTCGTGAAGCCTAGCTTCGAAGAATTCATATTGCCATCCAAAAAATATGCAGATATCATAATCCCTCGAGGAGGAGATAATGATGTTGCAATTGACCTGATAGTACAACATATTCATACAAAGCTTGGCCAGCATGAACTCTGTAAAATATATCCAAACGTTGTCGTTATATTCTCTACATTTCAGGTAACATTAATTCACAACTTTGTGACCCCATCAGCGTCATCATGTTCACGTTGTCGATATCTGTAACCCGATCTTTTGTTTGGTTCAGATACGGGGAATGCACACCCTAATTCGTGATGCCAAAACAACAAAGCATGACTTTGTCTTCTATGCAGACCGACTGATTCGCCTGGTACAGCTAGTTTGCTATGTAAAAAGACAAATTTTCTGACTACTTACAAGTATGATCTAGCATATAATGTTTTGAACCAATGTTTCAGGTTGTGGAGCATGGACTAGGTCATCTCCCCTTCAAGGAAAAGCAGGTTATTACTCCAACGGGTAATGATTGCTGCTCTAACATTCAATTAGACGAAGCCGTTACATAATCATCACCACATTGCAACACCATTACCAGTGGGCCATAACTAATCTGTGTTTCTTTATTATAAGGTTTCTAGACATGTAGCTTCTTCCCGGTCGCATTTGTACTCTTATTAAGTTGTTTGATGATACTGTTATTGCTGGCAGGATCTGTATACAGTGGAGTTGTTTTCTACAAACGGTTGTGCGGGGTTTCAGTCATTAGAAGGTATTTGATTCTGCTGATCAGTGCTGCAACTTTACTTTATGTCTTAAAATACTTGAAATATATCGTCTCATCATTCTAGTTTCCTAATATCAGTGGAGAAAGCATGGAGAATGCACTCAGAGCATGCGTCAAGGGAATAAAAATTGGAAAAATCCTCATCCATGGAGAGGGTAACAATGGTCGAGAGGTTCGTGGAGGAAACAATTTTTCACCAGAAGAAACAATCTCTACCCTTGTTTTTCTTCTGAAACTCTCTCTCTCTCTCTCTCTCTCATATCCTTGCAATGTTGCTGCAGTTGATCTATGAGAAGCTACCAAAAGACATCTCAAGCCGCCATGTGTTATTTCTTGATCCTGTTCTGGCTTCAGGTTTGAGAAAAAACATCTAACGTCTAATTGGAAGCATGTAATGTTGTCTAAAATCTGTAAATTCTTAGGAAACTCTGCCATCAACGCTATATCTCTGCTCCTCAGTAAGGGTGTACCAGAATCCAACATCATCTTCCTTAACCTTATAGCAGTGAGTCATTCTGATGTTTCCCTGTTCCTCTGAAATTGACACATAAGCTCATGTAAACTTATGTGCATGATTTGTATAACCTAGATTTCCAAATGCAGGCACCGGATGGAATACATGCCCTCTGCAAGAGATTTCCGAAGCTAAAACTTGTTACATCAGAGATTGACGAATCTTTGAACGAAGATTTACGTGTGATTCCCGGCATGGGGGAGTTTGGAGACCGTTACTTTGGTACAGATAATGAAGACGGTACCATTTCACGTTCAACGACACCCAAATAAATGTTAATTTCCTTTGGGTGTGGAAGAGCTGGGGCATTGCTCAGGTTCATTCCAATGTCTAATAATGTAGCAATCGCTGAAATTTTGCTGAGATTTTGTTCAATCAATCGTATAAAGTCTACCTATTTGAGATGTTTGTTATGCATTTACATAATACCAACAAATAGATATAATACAGAACCCAGTTTTGTTAGTGAAATATGATGACACTATTGATTATTTTACACTCGAGTGAAAATACAACATTCAAACCAGCTTGTTAGTGAAATAATGTTTTGATATATTAACTTAAAGAGTAAAAGTACAACCTTTACACGAGCTAAAAACAGATTTTTGACCTACCAAAACAACATTCCAAAATTGCACCTTAACGAGCTTGAAAAATCGATAGCAATTTATTACAACTCTATCACGACAGTATCTCTATCGCAGTTCTTTCTTCATGTTTCTCTATTCAGAACAAGTTGCTCAAAACAATTAATCTCTTGCCTTGCCCTAATATCGCAGATTGAAGACAACTTGATTGGCCTATCATGTGGTGCTCTTTTTACTCTTCTTCTTCCTTGAAGCAAAGCTGCTTGGTCCAATTTCTATGGACATTCTTTTTGTCCTGCAAAGTACATGAACAATAAAGTACATTCAACAGAACGGTGCGTGTGGAGAGGAAACAAGGGAGTTTGTGGTTTCCATCTCCAAATATAAGAATGACAACTAGAACCTAAGAAGTAGCATACCGCATGGATAGCTCTTCTGACTCCTCCTCACCATCTTCAACTGCACCATCTGAAACTAAACATATAATGAAATTCAAGGTCACGTTGGAAGATTTAAACTAACATTAAAACATATTTTTATAAACAAAAACCGGAATTAATACTACTTTTGTTCACAACTAAAGCCATACCATCTCCATCAATCTCGTCATCCTCATTCTCTGACTCTGAACCGGAACCCCATCTATCGCCTCCCTCATCAAAGTCCCAACGTTCTCCTACTGGAGGCATCCAAAAGTCAGTTTCTTCTAAATCACTTTCCTCATCAGAAGACTTCCTTATTTCAGAGATAGTCTCATCAGCTCCATTTTCCTTCTTCTTCTTCTTCTTCGTCTTCTTCTTCTTCTTTTTCTTTCTGACACCATCTGTGTCCGGCTCAGGTACTATTTCAGGGTTCTGATCATCCAGCTTTTCTACCATTCCGTCCGGCTTTAGCTTCTGTTCTTCCTTTTCTTCTGTTCATACAAGTCAGCGTAAATGTCATCATTAGAAACATATGGGGCACCATCAATTTCAAATGTATGTGAAACCTACGAGTCCAAAAGACATTCCACAGACAAATTTTGAAAGAGCACCAATATGATGGATTTGAAAACCTCAAAAAAGAATGAAAAACACAACAACTCGAACCTAGCTTGTTGAGGAACCGTTTGCCATTGATATGCTTCCAAATGTGTTCCTCTGACTTATTGATAGTATCCCCGGTAAGCTTACACACCAACTTTGAACTGCAGAAAGAAGAAAACGAACAGGGTATCAGCATGAACAAGAAAGCTCTCTGCTTTGTTGCCAGGAAAAAACTAAAAATACAAGCATTTTGTATATTTATTCACAATTTGGCAAGTAGTAAGCAAACGTAAATTCAACATTGAAACATTTACTTTTATCTTTTTAGCTGAGATTTCTTTAAGAAACCGAAGAGAAGCAATAAGCACAGTGAAATTATTTAGAAAACAGTCAAAGCTAAAATCTTTACGAGTGAAGATGATGGAAGAGAAATAAATTGAAATACCGAGAAAGAGGGTCTTGCTTGAACATGTTGAGAGGAGGTTTCTTATGGGAAAGGGCAAAGTCGACCAGACCCAAACGGCACCGCTTGCTCTGAGAGTAAATTTCCTTGTCTTTGGCCACCACTTCATGGCCTGTCTCAACGCACTGGAATCGACCATTTTCGAGCTCCTTGAAGGTCGGTGAGCCCAGTAGGTTGCTCCCTTCCTTCTCCTTCGCCTTCTCCTCACTCGTCGCCATTACTATTTCCTCAAGCTGCGAGCCGCACAGAGAGCGAGAGAAGAAGAGAGTATGTTTTGGGCCGCAGACCTAATTATAAGCCAGCCCTGTCTGGACTCATATGGGCCAAGCCGAAGTCCAAAATATGGGCCTCCTATTTTTTGTTTACCTCAGTAAGTGGCCCATTTCCCAGTCAAACCTCTTTTTTTTTAATCCGATACAACAAAATACAAATATGGGGAGAAACAGGAATCGAAACTAGTATATGAGGTGCAAGAATAAGTACTTTTAACCACTTGAGTTATAAGCCTTTTCGAGTAAAAAATTGAATTAGGGGATTTTTTTCTTCTGTTTTTTTTTGTTGTTTTTTGTTAGGTAAATTATGTGAGTGATTTGGATCTTGATCAATCACGAGTCAAAGATACATGTCAAGTTGAGGAATATGTCAGTTGGGTTGGGTAATGGCATGAGACAATTGGATCTAATGGTATTTTTTTATATATACTTTATATAGGCATGTTATTCTCCCTTGGGCTACCCCTTTGTTCAAATTTTCTTGATGTATATATTGATATGACCGTATGGTCCATGGTTGGTAGCACCTTTTACTATATGTTCTTTGAAATGGAGATATGCCCACACACACACGTGGTAGTGGTACCAGGACAAGGAAGGCTTACATTTTGAAATCTTAGGCACCACTTTTGTAGTTACTTACTTGGTTGAAATTTTTTGGATATTCAAATGGTTTTCTTCATTTTCCTCATTTGTCTTTCTTTAAACAAATAACCCATTTTCCAATTGTTTATAGAGGTTTGGTAAGCAGTTGCTAGAATAATGCTGTGTGTCTCACTTTCAACTTAAATTATGCTTCTCCTTATATTGTGCCAAGGTTTTCCTCACCCACAAGTCTAACAAGCAAATCTTTGTTTATAAAGAAAATGATGGACTGGTCTCATGCACTACAGAAAAGTTCCCACAAATTTTGATGACTTGTTTGCTCACTAATTACACCCACCAGAGAGAGAGAGAGAATATAATCTCTTGGGCAGCACAGCATGCATAACATAATAATTAAGGACAACTTTTGATCTGAAAGAAGAGAAAAAAAAGAGCCAGTTTATGGCACCATTAAAGGGAAATTCTTGTCTGCAGGAAGTAATTTAAGAAAATAGTAAGATGCTCATATAAAAGTATGAACCACAGCACAGAGCAAATGAACAAAGTAAGAGCAGTCTGGCTAAGCTGTTCACACTGACAAAATAGCTAAAAACAAAGCAAAGATATACCAGTTTTTTCTCATTGCTTGCGGAGTAATGAATCTCAATAAGCCTTTGTCTTTCTTATCATCTCTCTGTACAAACTAAGCCTCTCTCTCTCTCTCTCTCTCTCTCCTCCAGGTGTCTATAAATAAGGAGGCACCTCCAATCCAAGTGTGGCCTCCTACATATGAGTTGCATGTTTGGTGTGGTGAAAATGGAGAGGGTAAGATTATTTGCTGTTGTTGCCAGTATTTTGGTTATGTGTGTAGTGAGGAGTGTGGGAGGTGAAGAGGTGGCAGACACATTATCAGCCTGTGATTTTCCAGCAATTTACAACTTTGGAGACTCAAATTCAGACACTGGTGGTATATCTGCTGCATTCTACCCCATGGCATCACCCTGTGGTGAAACTTTCTTCCACAGACCAGCTGGCAGGGGTTGTGATGGCCGTCTGATGATTGATTTTATTGGTAACTATCATGAACAACCTTAACCTGCAGTAAATGTATTAGACTAGTTGTTTAATTAAATCACCATTAGCCAAATTTTATAAGAACACTGACAAATGATGACATTGATGTGCTAATTATGCAGCAAAGCACTTGGGATTGCCATACTTGAGCCCATATTTGGACTCACTTGAGAGCAATTTCAGACATGGTGCCAATTTTGCTACCGGAGGGGCAACCATCATCCGGTATAATGAATCCTGGTTTCAGAATGGTGTGAGCCCCTTTTCTCTTGACATCCAGATTGCTCAGTATCAACAGCTCAAGTCACGTACCACCAGTCTTTACAACCGAGGTCACAAACTTATGAAAAACAGATCATATCGCCTTTTAAAATTTTTCGACTTAGTTTTCTTGACATGTATGAGAAATTTATTCTGATTTGTTATGAAATTGTGATCTGCAGCCAAGAAACAACCCCACAGATTCCCAAGAGTTGATGACTTCTCAAAGGCTCTTTACATTTTTGATATAGGACAAAATGATGTAGCTGCTGGTATTCGGAAAATGAGTGATGAACAATTTCAAGCACAAATCCCAGACATAATTAACCAGTTGGCTACAGCCATCCGCGTAAGTATATTCTAAAACTTGCTCATTAGTTAATTGATAAACAAATGTCTTTGGTAGAGAAAAAACTAATAGCCACATTATGTTACAGAATTTGTATGATCAAGGGGCAAGAACATTCTGGATACACAACACTGGTCCCATTGGGTGCTTGGCAGTGACCTTACACTACCTTCATAATCCGAGCCCTGACTATGTTGACCGCCGTGGTTGCGTCAAGTTTCAAAACGACATGGCTAGACAGTTCAATAGGGCGCTCAAGCAGAAAGTGTTCCAACTAAGGAAGGAGCTCCTCCTTGCTGCAATAACACATGTCAATGTCTTTGCTGCAAAGTATAAACTTCTCAGCAATGCAAAGAAGCATGGTAAACCAAATTCAATATTGACAAGAATTCATCACACTGCCATTTGCAAGTAAACCAACCATTAACTACTTAATTAAACTAAAATCATGTAATTAATTTTTATGCAGGATTTCTGGACAAGACAAGGATCTGCTGTGGATATCATGAAGATAGCAACCATGTGTATTGTGGGAATAAGGGAATCATAAATGGCACTCAAGTATATGCTGGTTCATGTGAAGATCCTTCCTTGTATATTAGCTGGGATGGTGTACACTACACTGAAGCAGCAAATCATTGGATTGCTAATCAATTAATCAGTGGTTCATTCTCAGACCCACCACTTCCAATCACAAATTCATGCCATAGGCTTCAACCTCTGTAGTTACTTCCACATATGTAACTCTTTCTTAGCCTACAAGTTAACAAGAAATTAATGCAGTTGACAATTCAAATCAGCAAAGAGTTTTAAATCTAACTTTTTATGAATATGATTGGTTAAAAGAGGTGAAATTGATGAGCACCAAAAGTAATGAGCAAACAATAGAGAAGGCAAAGTAGCCAGCTTTAGGTAACAGGACTTGATCAGTGCCCGTCACAGCAGAATCAGTTTTAACTTCATATTTCCCAACAGTTCTAAGCCCCATAAAAAATGGCCCATCAATTAACTAACAGACCTTGGCCAGAGCCCAAGTTAGCTGCAACATCCAACAATCCAATGGAATAATACCCTTGTTTGTATCTGATCCACCTTATTGCTTCACCTTCTGTTAGCCTCTGCCATTTTATTTGTTTGGATTTTAATGCAGCAACTGTCATGTCAGATTTGCTGATGCGTAGCACACTGCTCAATATCAAGATTTTGCTGATCATTCACTATTCATCCTCGCTATTCAAGAAATACTTCCATAAAACAGAGATATCATTATTTTACAATCTCGATTAGTAATATTATAACAAGCGTAATAACACTTTTATATGATATAACATTATTAACATGAGATAACAAATCATTATTATTCCCATTGCAACTAAGTTTACCTCCGCTCATCACGCACTAACAATATCTCTGTTTTCTTTACTTGGCTGCTCATGAGTGTGGCATGTACCGACAAAATATGGACCATATCTAAGATATCTTAAATTTATATTTTTTATATAAACTTATGTAAGATACGGTTAGGCTTGTAGACACGAGAGTCACACACCCCACATCACTGACTATATTGAAAATTCTGTCTTCAAGTCCAAGACACTTGTTCATTCACTGCCACATGATTCTGATCAGCCGGTGTCACTGTCCTTTGTGAACAAGGCCATGTGTTGCTGCTGGATCGTATCAGATTATCCTGTCCATTCTGCTGTTCCTGTCACTTCCATAGCTTTCCCAATCTCAAAGCCAATTACCACCATAGCTTAGTTTAACTACATCTGATCTCAAGCATGCAGAGAACCCAAAAAGGAACCACCCCAAAAAAAATGATTGTGATAAAAAGATTTTCTCTTTTCTTCTTTTTCGGCCGAGTAAAATCAAGAGCACATGCGTCTGATGAATATGTTTGTCCCACATTAAAAAAGAAAGTTGAATAACTTTATCCTTAAAACCAAGGGGTGCTTCCTGTGCTGGCTTAGGGGTCTGTTACCAACTATCCTTTAAATGAGAGTGCCTGATTGTTATCCCTCTTCCTATCCTAGCTATAGCATCAACAAACAGTGGTCCTGGTTCTGGTCCAGCAGTGACAATGGAGCTCTGGAAACTACTGGTGGCATCTGGGTTCTTCTTGGCGTCATGGGTTTTGGGTGCGGGAGGTGAAAATCTACCAGTTTGTTCTTTTCCGGCAATTTACAACTTTGGAGACTCAAATTCAGACACAGGTGGCATATCAGCTGCATTTGAACCAATCCGAGCTCCTTACGGCGAAGCATTCTTTCACAAGCCAGCTGGGAGAGACTCTGATGGCCGTCTCATCATAGACTTCATAGGTAACAATTCAAATCAAAGACTTGAATTTGTATGCTTTGGTTTGTTTTAGTGTTCAATTGAGTTGAGTTGAATGGTAATGTTATGTAGCTGAGCGCCTAAGATTGCCATACTTGAGTGCATACTTGAACTCACTTGGAACTAATTACCGGCATGGTGCAAATTTTGCCACTGGAGGATCAACCATTAGGAGGCCAAATGAAACCATTTACGAGTACGGCATTAGCCCTTTCTCGCTTGATATGCAGACAACCCAATTCCTTCAGTTCAAAGCACGCAGCGCCGAACTCTATCGCGAAGGTTCAATCTTTAGCACCAAGTCTGTTTCAAGTTTCAATCTTTATCCTTGTTAGGACACTGAGTTTTAACTGTTTGTGATATGTCC